GCCTCAGTGCTCTGGAGGCCCTCTCCTAGAGTATAAGGACTTCTTTATCCATGAATTTATACATCGTGGTCTGTGGTGGGCGTTCAGGGGTGTGGGCCTACCTACATGTCTGTCGTAGGGTGCATTCGTGGTTCCGGTTAGTAGCATAAGTGGTCACAGTTGCTGTTTTTTCATTGCTCTTTCATCTGCTTCACAGTGTGATAACTGCGGGATTGAACCTATCCAGGGTGTTCGGTGGCACTGCCAAGACTGCCCTCAAGAAATGTCCTTGGATTTCTGTGATTCTTGTTCTGACTGGTGAGCAGCATATGCTTCTACTTGTTATTTGTAATTAGCCTGAATCTCCCCATGTGGCTTAATTGCACGTATGCTGGAAATCTTTGCTCCAGCGCAGGACACACATCCTGTGTTGGGTAAAGTGTAAGATACCTGAGCATATATTTGTGGCAGGTGTATCGTGTAAGCATGTTCTGGATGTGAAGTTTTTTTTTTTTCTTAATACTGTGGATAGATAAGTTTGGTACTGTTAAATAGTGAGGGAAATCATATTTTACGAGTTAATTGATATCATATTTGCTATGAATCTGTTAATGTGATCACTGTTTCTGAAAGTTTAAAGACAAGGAGAATATTTGAATTTTAAACTGTTTCTTTCCCTTGCAGTCTGCATGAAACAGAGATTCATAAGGAAGATCATCAGTTAGAACCTATTTACAGAGCAGAGACATTTTTAGACAGAGACTACTGCATGTCCCAGGGCGCCAGTTACAATTATCTTGACCCAAACTACTTTCCAGCAAATAGATGACATGGGAAGCAGATCTACCATCTTGGGCTTACTATCCTCTTTGAAAAATAACAATGGCACCATTGTTAATTCTGTGCACATTTTGGAAAGACTCTGCTTTCCCTGAAATGTCACTCACAGCATGACAGCTTCCTGGGTGTACTTGTCAAACTACAGCTTTGAGCTGTCATGGTTCTAGATCACTGAACAGCAGCTGAACATTCCTAGTGTGCGGAAGGTTTCACTGGGAGACTTTTCTTTCACCACGTTAGTCATTTTTAGGTGGTGAATCTGAACACAAAAGAAAAACATACAAAAGGGTGAGCCAGAAATGAGAGCACACATTAAAGATAGAGTAAATTCCAAAGGCTTCGAAGAACTTGGTTATGATGAGATCCAGAGGAGATGAAGTATTTATATAAAAACAGTTTAGTAGCTTGCAGTTTTGTTGTGAAATAGTTTTTCAGCACAGTAACTGACTTTAGGCAAGGTTTTAACCAATGACAGTGTTTGCTTCTAGGATGTACTCTTAAAAAATACTCACTGTCTCAGAGATGGTTGGTTACAGGCCTTTATTAAATTGGAGCTGCTTAATCACATTGACTTTCAAATTTTTTTAAATTTTTTTTTAATTTTTTTTTTTTAAAACCACGATGAACTCTATTTACCAACAGTGAAGCACTACAGGGGGCAACTGTGGCATTGCTTCCTTAACCAGCTCATGGTGTGTGAATGTTATAAAATTGTCACTCAGATATATTTTTTAAATGTAATGTTATATAAGATGATCGTGTGATGTGTACAAAATATGGTGAAAAGTGCCAGTGGTAGTAACTGTGTAAAGTCTCTAATACTCAACATTAACTCCTTTAAAATAAAATACACAGCCTTCTGCCTCTGTATTTGGAGTTGTTAGTGCAACTCATCAAAGAAAACTGCCTAATATAAATCATATATATGGTAATAATTTTTCCTCTTTTGTAGTCTGCACAAGATCCATGAAAGATTGTATTTTTATTACTATTTAAACAGTGATTAAACTTAGCCTGAGCAGTGAGCAAGGGTTCACATGCATTCTTTTATACTGCTGGATTTTGTTGTGCATCATTTAAAACATTTTGTATGTTTCTTCTTATCTGTGTATACAGTATGTTCTTAAATAATGTTCAATTGTCAGGAGAACTGTGAGAAATAAACTATGTGGATCCAGTCTGTTTATATATAGAATGCTTGCTGTGACTTCCTTTCTGTGTAGTTCTGACTTTTTAATCCAGACGGAAAACATTAAAAGGACATTTTCACACGCCTCACAAATACTCACTATGCAGACCTGCAGGATGCCCAGCGCCCTCCTCTGCCCTCCGTGTCAGTGGGAACTGACGGTGCTCTGCGCCCACTCAAATCCGCTTCGCCTCCTGCAGGACGTTAGCATCTTAGTTTGCTCATAGCTTACTCACAGACTGTTCTTTTGCAGATCGCAGGAAATCCAGATTTTCCTAGCCTTGGTACACTGTACACCACCGTCGGAGAAGCTTTGTAATTATTGTGACATATCTTAGTTAATATATTTTCTATTGAAATATGTATAGCTTGTGGTTCAGAAACACTTGATTATTTTATAACTGTAATAGACTTCCAGTTGCTTTGGAACTTGAATACTCAGAGTAATTAGCTAGAAATGAAACTAATTTGAATTAAAAAGATGGCAATAAGGATAATTGGCTGGCTGCACCTAATAACTTTAATTATAAACTGATGGGTATTACGTTTTGCAATAACTTTAGGTGTAGTTATTTTTTTGCTTCAGAATAAAAGAATGATTTCAGGCGTTTAATCTATTTAGAAGGTAATCCAGTACAGTTACTAAAACACTGAGCAAGTATCATATGTGATCATATCTCACGTATCTGGTCTACTTAGATAAATTTAATAAATCTTAATTCACAAGGTGAATTCACGTGCTGTATTTTAGTTTTTAATTGGAAAAGATACTGCTCTGAGAGGCTCTCTGATACCATAAAAAATGTGCTTTATGCATCATTCACACTGTTTACAGGAAGCTAGAGTTGGTGAAGGTGTATTATCAGGGAGAGAATCTGTGGTAATATTTGCTTTCTGTTGATATCCTGGGAAAAAAGATTGGAAGAAAATAATAAAAGTACATTAGTGAAAATATTCAGTCATCAATTTAGGATAGCTTGGGAAGAACAAAAAGCCATGGGATAATTTGAATGAGGTTGGAAGCAGAAGGGGAATTTCAGGGCTGAATCATCCAAGAAAGAAGTGTCTTGGAGAAGTCCTCTTTTGACTGAAAATGTATAAATATTTATATTTCCATATGCATGCATATATAGCTATTTCTCTTGCATACATTATGAACATACGCAAATCTAATGCACATACACCCAATCGAGCATGGGAATTTTTTTGGTTTGTTCCAAAGACCAGAAGAAGCAAAGAAAAATTAAACTGTATGTTAAATAATCTGTGATTTGATTTTTCTTTTAAAAAAAAGTGCAGCTGATTGTTGCCTTTGTTCCCTTCCTGCACACAAGTGTGATATTCCACACTCTTTAACTGATCCTGTAATTAGAAGTAATAAAAAATACTTCAGAAAACCTACCCATATGAATTCGCAACTTCAGAGTGTTTTAAAATTACTTTTTGAAATACCACACCAGAGAGCTGCTGGTGCTTCAGGGCTCGGTTTAGAAAAACCTGCTTCCTCCAGCTGTTGCCCTGTGAAAGTCTCTCGCTTAAAGCTGTTGTCCTGTAGCCGGTACTGGTCACTCAGCAGCACCGGCCTGGAGCCGAAGAAGAAATTCCCAGAGCATCAGAGCTAAAATGTAGGCTGTAAGAAGGAACATCCAGGATATGAAGGATAAGAACATATCTAAAATAGTCCCTTTAAGAATAATTGAATTAGCATTTACGGGGCAACTGGCAAGGAAAAAAAAAGAAACCAGCAGAATCTGCCCTGACTGGAAAAAGGCCGTACTCTGTAAGCATGCTGATCTGGGCTTATTTCCTAGTCATGTTCTGTGCTTTGAAAAGGATTAAACCCGCGTGTTCTGCAACAGAAATCGGCACTCCTCACTTTTGTACGTTTTATTTGTATTATGTCTTCATTACAAGAAAGGTAACTTTAAAAATACAAACCTGGTGCATGAAGTACAACTTCGACCGCAAGAGCAATCATGCAACCCACTCCCACTCTGAATTCATCCAGTAATTCCAGTAAGAGGATGCAATTACTTTACAGGAATGTCAAACGAGCTTTTATTTAGCTATCAGAATACCAAAGAAACTCCACAATATTTTGGTTAACCTAACAGAAATACTACATGATTTTTACAGACTTTTTTGCAGGTGTGGATCAATGGCTTACTAGAGATGGAAGCAATAAGAATCAAATAATCTCTTGACATTTTTTTTTACCCCAAAAAAGTTTTGGCAATGCCAGTACAAGACAACAGATAATGATCTGAATTTTACACTTGAAATACTTCCGAAGTATGATTTAAAGACATCTTCATACATTCTGGATCATAGTCAACTTTATAGGTAGACATTAATTAATATAGTAAAACTGCTGCTAATATGGGTAATTACTGGATTGCACATTTAACTATACAATGCAATCATTATCTTCACCTCAGCTCACAAAACTGGGAAGTTGTCACTTAAAATATTCTACACTTCTTAGCAGAAGACAAGGCTGTCTCAAGGATGGCTCCGTGACAGCGGATCGACAGATCTCCACAACATTCAACCGTATCTTCACCTTCAACTTCTTGTAGTAGTGTTCTGGGGACACGTGAGAAGTTCGTTCTAGCTTGACTAATTCCAGCTGTCTTACAGCTGCACGTTACAGAGGACAGGTTGTAGTCACTAAATCCCAGGAACAAGCTAAGTGACACCATAACAATAGTTGCTGTTAATTAAAAGAAAAGAATAACCCATGGGAAGCTTGTATGCAGTAATCTTGATGTGCTAAATGAAGAATGATGTGGTTGAAGAGCTCACTGCTGGCCAGGCGCTGTCCGACGTCCGACCGAATGTGTGAGGTCATGAAATGCAAACCAGAGCTGCTGCTCGCCGTGCTGCTTTGAACTCGTGAAGAGCAACCAGCCAGTAAAACTTAGTGTGGAGTTAGCGTACAGACCGCTTTCTGTTGAGTGCATTACCAGAACAGAGAAAAAGGATTTCATCTAATAACATACCACATGCACAAATTCCAGAGATCTCTGAAGAAAGCAGTATTGCTTTGAACAGCATTTTAATCGGGACTGTCAAGTGCACGGGAGGTGAGGCTGTGTACACGCCATTACTGCGTTTCTGTTGAAAAAGAAAATGCTGCCTCTTCCTTTTTCAGAAAAGCGTCGACTGTCTTGCAGACTTCCAGAAAAACATCTTCCTGTGTTCCTTCGGCATCAACCTGTGAGGCAGGCAACAAACATTACTTACAGTGAATTATCTCAGAATCTAAACACTGGCACAAAAAATGATCCAATATAAAATAAAAGTAGTTCTGTTTCGTGTTATAAGCATTCTAATGTAGAGAAGCAGCTGCTATAAACCAGATTATTTGCTGTGTTTCCACAGACTGACGTGAGAAGGTTCTGTGGGCTCCATCATCTGAAGAAAGTACATTGATCAAATTCGAGAGCATAAGCTGTTCTAAGTACTCTTGTTTTAAAGTAAAATTACACGTTTGATGTACAGAACAGTTTCCAAATATTTTTAGAAACTATCATTTAATACCCTCCAAAATAAACCTAATAGTAATAATAAACCTTTGATACCATACCGTTAACGAGACGAATAGCACTGACTTGTTGCTTCTTGTCATCTAAAGCGTCAGGGTACGGAATGCTGTGGCTGACCCAGACACTTTCAGATGGCAGCAACTCAGCAAGGTCAAGTGTTCGTGTGCATTTGGATTTGCAGGCTTGGTGCTGGTTTTACGATGACCTTTGGGCAACACGCATTTTATAGCGGCACTGGTTTTGTTGTACAAGAACTTGATTTCAACTAAATTTTTTTTCTTTAACACGCAAAGATTCTATTTTGGCCAGAGGTTATCCAAGCTGTTCAAGTTATTTTTCATGACTGGACTTCAACAAAAGCAAAACCAATTCATTCTCCTCCTATGCTGAGGAAGAGAGTGCTGCAATTTAGCAAAGAGGAATGATGTTTGTAGCCAGTAATACTTCTAGAAAATGTTCCCTAGAAAATGTAATGGAGCACTGAGCTTTTGAGCTTCGTGTCCAACCCATGCAGGGACTGTCATGCAGATCATTACTCGAGGAAAGAGACCTGGTTTTGCCTTCACACTAGTGACAGAAGTTTTCATGCTGGCTGTGCACACCACACAGATTTTTCAGTTCCTCTCAAATGTCAGGTGAGAGCCTTGATTCTCAGCTCAGAAGCAGGTCTCATCCCTGTTTCTCTGTGCTTAGTTTTTATGCGTGCGGAACGTGGAGCTTGCACACGTTTAAACAGACCCATGAGAACTTTGCTAAAGCCTGTTTTTTGCTAAAGCCTTTTTCTGAACTGTGTTCTGCATTTTCGTCCCCAAGTTGCTGACTAGGGTAACAAACAATTGCAATGTCTGAGATGGGCGTTCCTCACCATCATACTTGCTGCCGCCTCTTTGTTCTGCAGGAGAAGAAAAAGAGTTTCAAACTCCAAAAAATGCATTTTTGAAATAGGCCACAAAAATCTTCTCCGATACGGTGCTGGCTTGCAGCCAGCTCCTGTACAGTCTGTCTGCACTCAATGTACATTTAAGTCCCTCTGTGCTAACTCTTGTGTGGGAGTCAGCAGCTGCTCCTTGCAGAGATCCAGCAAGGGACTGCATTCACGCTCCGTAGCCTGGTTTCGCTCTTGGTGGCATCCACAGATGCTGCAATGTTTGGTCCCTTGTCACATCCTGTCGGAAGTGCTGGCACATCCAGCCAGTCTGTGGCCACGCACAGCAGGTCCAGCACTGGAAATAACCCGCCTGGCCAACCTTTGGGGCGCTATGCCTGCCTGGGTCAGTCCCCTCGGGCTCTCTGCTGGGGTTTCTTGCACCCTGAGCTGAAGTACCCTCTCCCCTGCCGGCAAGCTTGCAGAAGCCCGGTTCTCTTGCTTCCCGTGCTCTCTGTCATGTTGGTGCCCGCTGACGCTGCTGCTTTATGTAATGCTGAAGGACGCACATGCTGGAATAATCTGTGAAGCAGCAGGTGGTGCCTTAGAAAGGACAGTTATCAAACAAGGGCTGCGTGTCTTTCAGAAGCTTTCTATGCACAAAAAAAAGGGATTTAAGAGGGAGTTACTTACTAGTAGCAAAGAGAGAGCCACTCTGGACCAAATTCCTAACTTCTCCACTTACAGTAAAACTAGCAACTCCCATCTCAGCTGCTATAAAGCAGCTTGTTTTGTATGTCTCAACTGCCCAGACGCCTGTTTTCATACAGCCCTGCCACAGGATCTATACCTCACACAGGCTGAAGGCCACAGCCATCTCAAAGCTCTCGTGTCTCTTTATCTATAAATACATCTGCCTTGGTGAACCGATCTGACCTAACCCACCACGGCTGATTGCCATTGGCTTTTTGGTGACCGATTCTAGAACCTGGACTGATACTCAGGTCTAGATCTAGGCAGCTGTGATAAAGAATTACGTTTGTAAGCATGGAAATTGCCACCCTTTATGACTGGTTGGAACACTGACTTCATAACAGTCACAATAAAATATGGATGAGCATGACTGATGACAGCCCCAGTGCTTCCCTCTGTGGCCTCCTAAATAGAAAAGGTCCAATTCATAAAACTAACTTAAAGTCATGGCACAAAACTAACATAATGTGACAATAATTCACCGCTAGTGCCACAGTAATTCAATGACGCTGTCTGCAGCTCCAGGAGAGAAAACTGTGGTATTCTCTTTCTCAGATTATAACAAACCTCATAAATTACGACTGTTTTCAAGGTTACTGAAGGCTGCTGTCTTCCCATAAAAGCAAGATCCAGATACAGTTTTTCATAGTGCTTTCAGTTTAGAAATGCTACTATGGCTTAAGTAACTTCAAATACAGATAAATTTAATGAACTCATATGAAAAATTACTGGAGTAACCATTCCATACTATAAATTGCTCTTTTTGGCCTTAAAATCAGCCAGTAAACTTTCTGCCACCAAATGTCCATTTAGAACCCTGAACATATAGTGCCACTAAGACAAACCCGACTGTAAAGATGATGACTCACCATTTTCAGAAAGACTGCTTATGACTCTGGAATAAACGCACAAGTTAGAAGCTTCCTATTGAAGGTCAGTCACGTTCAGGTGTGTTGTCACTAACATTTACATCTTTTTCATTAAAAAGACTGCTCAGAACCTCTCTGAGACAGTGCTGTACCTGGTTCTCAGAGCAACAGATCAAACTGTCTGGAAATGCAGTGGAAACATGTTGCCCCAACATCTATTTGCATTTGGCATGAAGTTACTTTTGTATTTTATCTATAATCCCCTGCTAATGCTTCTCATTTCCAGACTGGTGTCCCATCCAGTGGGTCACAGGACATCAAGAGGGGTGATACAGAAACACTTGCTCATTAGTTCCCTGCCTACTTACCTACCAGGTTTAACGGTTCTCTGACAGCCTTTCAAAGTTGGAAATAAATTACATACTGCTGTCACTACTACCTTGGATTATCCCTTCTCTAAAGGGAAAAGTACACATTTGTCCTTCCCCAGAGCCACTTCTAGCAGAGGATGACCATGAGAAGGCTCGGATGTGGAAACAGAGAGGGATGGTCACTCATGCTTTCATAATCGCTACGGAAAATGTTTGTGACGAGAATCTAATAGCTGCTGCTCACCCAGCATGTGACTTCAACTGATTTTAGAAAGAAACAGTAACACAACACTGTGAAAAAAGAAGAAAGAAAAAGAAAGAAGTTTGGTTGAACTTTTTAGGCTAAGCTTCCAGAGTGTGTGATCTGAAACAGCAGTTCTGAACATCCTTGAAAATCCTCTGCTCTGGACTGCCTACCTGATTTGCTACGTTCATGCCCCTGTTCCTCAGATGACTTTGAACAGGGAACTTGTATTTAAGACACCTACAAGGTGTTTTACATCAGCTAGGCAGGATCAGTTTTGTCTTGCTTGACTACTAATGCATTGCACTTCTCTATTACTTATTAACCTCCTACATACTGTCACTTGAAAAAAAGCATCTAAGAATGAGTCAGATATTAAAAACAACCAGTCTTTTTTCACCCTTTCTTCACAACTGACAGAAGGCCATATATTCAAAGGTATTTACACTTACCCACATTAAAACACAAGTAGGTGCCTTTTAAATTTTCATATGCACTTTTCTCTTCAGCTGCCTTGGAAATCATTGAGAAATAAACTTAAAACCAGCAGTATCTACTTGCTTACTACAGCTACAATAGTGCATTTCACTTCATTAATCTGAAACACCTGATTCCCACAGATTCAGGCAGTTTACAACTGTTGTTTTGGTGTGTAGTGCTTTCAGTCCCTGCATTGCCAACACGAGGTCTTTGTCACAAAGCACCCACTTGCTTTTAGCAGCAGGTTGGTGATCTGTAACTGACCCTGGCAAACATTATGGAATATTAAACTACCTCCCCAAAACATGCCTTTTTAAAAATTAACTTGAAAATGTCTGACCTGTTGTCACAACTACTTTACCTCACAGAACACAATTTAGGAACTTACTGCCTTAGCAGAAAATTGAGCAGAGGACACTGTCATTCTTTGCTCTTCATTCTTCAGTGGGTTTATCTTCTCTTGTAAATACATCCCCATGAGTTGCATCACAGTTCCTCATCTCAGCTGGGTGGCTGGAAGGATCACTGTTATTTATTCCTGTCAGGTTCACAGATATTTAATCTGCAGCCTTTGTGCATGCCTCACGCTTCTACTGCTGAGCAGCAACACTGACAGGTAATCTTGGGCAAAGGGAAATTTCAGAGTCCTCATCTTTTAGCAGCTTCATCGAGTCACTGCTCTTGTTCAGAGGTCAGTGAAATGGAAAAATGTTCCTCTTCCAAATACAGTAGTTATTTATGAATGCATTTATGCACAATAACTTTAGGTTTAGAGATGGTCACAAAACTCTCATTGATTAAAATGGGAATGCTGTTACAACCGTATACCTTTGTCTCTTTTGAGCAAGCAAAAGAATTCCTAATGACTGCAGAAGAAACTAGGTCACACTTGCGCTTTTCTGTCCCTGCTGTGTTTATCAGGCTCCTTCCATCCATCTCGTAACACCCGTTTCGATGCAGAGAATAAGAAAGCTAATTTGACAACGTAGTCTCAAGCACACCTTGATACACTGTGACAGATCAGTTCCTCCTCCACTTAATGCTCATCCAGCATCTAATTCCCCACACCAGACCTTTTGCTGGCCTTGTGCCCAGGACTGAATTTTATATTTGCATATTTAATCTGCATGTTTCAAGACTGAAAATGTTTACGCTGGATAGGGCAAGCTGGACACATACCACCCCTGCCATGTGCTGTTCCCAATCTGTGGAAAAATCTGCCCAGCCCTAAAACCACCTAAAATGGAGATATCAAATAATACCAATATGCCAACCTTATTCTGATTTTCTTCTCTGTGGCAAAGCAGAGACTGGGTGCTACAGCCAAGCCCTGCAAGACATGATCACTTACACAATTAAACACTATTTCATATACAGTTACTAGTGTTGCTTAGTCACACATTGCACAAAGCTGGCTAGAAAATGTTAATGTCCAGTCTTCTTCAGGGCAGTTAAGGGGGATTTAGACTCTAATATTCCTCTTAGAATCTCAGCATCCACTCCTGTGAAAGTGCATGGCTAGAATCTCAAGGGACATAAAGCTCACATGGGCCTTCCACTGAAGAACTGCTTCTGTTGAGAAAACAAACACAGGCAGGAAGAACTTTCCAGAAGAAGGCAACTAGAGATTCTTTTAGACTCTTCTTCTCTTAAATAGCTCCTCTTCAGATGCTTTGGTCATTGCTTATCCTGGGATGACAGACTGACCTGGGTCTGCAAACAGCACCTTCAGGTAAGACATGACTTCCCTGCAGCTATTCAATCCCACCAGCTTTGCCTGACAAAGAGCGCACAAGCCTCTGGTCTGCAGGTTACACAAAGGTCCATGAATTATTTTTAAAAATTCATGAATGTGGATGAGACAATTTATTTTAATGGGTCTTCAAATCAACACTTGTAAATTAACTTTGGTGGCTTTGCCTGAAATGAATTGGGAAAAATATACACAGTTCTTCCAGAGAGCAGAATTATAGAGGCAGCAGCATCTTAATGGGAATATTAATGTCTTCAACCAGTGCTGGTCAATGATGGAGAGTAATAAAACCAACTTAGGAACGACCAGATTCCCAAAGCTGAAAAGCTGTGATGTTGTAATTAAACTCAGGGAGAAAAATACTAAACATGTTAGACTGCCTCTAGGCAATGTCTCAGTCTTCTGCGTATGCGTATGATATTACAAATAACAAAACCCAAGGACTATCTTAGCCGAGAAAAATGCAGTCAGAAGTATTACTGATAGTTAGTTTCCACCTGAATTTCCTTTCTTCATGCAGAGAACATCAGAGCGGCTGCTAATGTCAATGCTTAGCAGTCTGTAAAATACGTTGCTATAAATAAGAACTAACCCCATGTCCTGGGAACTGCAAACGTCCCCTTTGCGCTCTGCTTTCTTCAACACTTGCAGATTAAACATACTCCCTGCGAAAATAGTTTTAGAATTGTAAACCTAAATGCTTATTTTTTTTTAATTTCCTACATAGCTAACAGTTACACAGTTTGTGTTAGCTCATTCTCTTTGTTTCAAAACAGCTCTTGACCAAGTCTGTTTTTTCTTTGTCTTTATTCTTCAAATTGTTGAGCCAAATAATGTAAGATACGCATTTACAGGATAGTAATACGGGTTGGAAAGAACCTCAGTGAGTCAATATTTTGAGTTCTTTCATCCAGCAAAATTGCCCAGAAAAATTTCTTAAACAAGCTCTCCTTCCAGAAAAGAAATTACTTTGTTTCATGGCATGTAGTGTATTTCCAAAACTGAAAGGTTGGGGTTTTTTATGCCGGCACTGTCCGCTGCCGAACGGATAGGGAACACTGCATGGGAATAGTTATTGAAATCAATTGGCCTGTGCATAGAAGTGCTCAGACCTACTTTTTCACTTTCACTGCAGGTGCAAAATAAACTTTAATAAAATAGAATCCCACACCTGTTCAACAATAATTGGTTAACCCCCCCACACTTCTCTCATCCATGAACATTAACGTGCTTGTATGAAACCTACAGTCACTTCTGCTCCTTGCTGTACAGGCAGCAGGGCTGCAGGCTTGTGCCTGAGGCTGGCTGAGGAGTATTTTTGAAAAGCCCACCTCTGCTGAGTGCTTTGCCAGTGTTGTCTAAACACCGATAAATAACCAAACACGTAATTGTCCACATCATAAGGGCATAAGGGTCAGTGACAGGGAGCATCTCTATATTTAAATCCATAATGGAATCACAGCTTTTATAGCAGATGTGTATTTTAGCAGTTTAATAAAAACAAGATGAGGTAGACATTTCAGTACAGCATACCTGTGTTCCAGAAAAGTAGAACGTGTTTTTCAAACTTAAAAGGACATTTTACATGATCATGTTTATAAAGCTGATTTTACAGAGCTTTCATATCCAATAGTTCCACTCAGAAGATGGAAGCGTGCTAAACTCCTACATTCATCGGAAGCAAGTACAATGTGCAGGTATTCTAAGACAAACAGTGGAAGGACTGTTCGAGCAATGCATGAATATTTTCTAACGTGCAAGCAAACATCATCAATTCCCTCACAAAATGATAAAAGAGTACAAAGCACATACCCAGCTCCGACCCGCAGGCTAGGCAAGTCCCTTAAGGGGCTGATGAGCTTTCAAGAAAAGATGGTATGTTTTGCCATTGCACAGGCTGCACAGCGGATGGAGTAGAAATTTGCAGCAGAATTACTAAGGAAGAGCAATGAGAGCCCACATCAAGTGAAATAAGGGAGATGACGAACGCAAAATCTGTGTGAAAGTATTTAGTGTAGTTTTATTCTCTTTCTGCTGTCACTCCCCTGATGCTTCAAAAAGACAAACACTGTGGTAGGCACAACTCACTGGAATAAGCGCTTAGAGATACAGACAGCTCCATTTCCCTCTGCATCACAGTGTGTTGGTGTATTATGTATTGCATTGAATTCTTAATTAGACACATCCTTGCAGTGTTGGCAAGGTAGCTCATCAATGAAAACACAAATAAAACCAGATAATCGTTCTTAAGCTTAAAAAAGAAAAGTAGTTGGGGATTTTTTTTTCTGCCACTCCAGAGTTTTCCTTCTGTGCACTTACTGTGGGGTTAGCAAAGGACACAAATCAGGACTGTCCCTTTGAGTATCATTTTTTTCAGGACCACGTCATTTAGTTGGTTCTCAGGCCAGGACACGCACGCATAGATTAGCTGCGTGCTTCTGTTTCGGGAACTTTGCAGAGGAGAAAGGTTTTGGATACGTGATTTGCATGTTTGCAAAAAAAAGCTCCCATAATATTTCCAGAAATCAGTATTTCCAGAAACTACTATTAGATCCTTCCCCTTGTAGGACAAGAAGGATCAGCAGGGCTAGATCTTCCTGCAGCTGCACAAAAGGGACACTTTGCCACAACAGAGCAGAAAAGCATATAAAAAGAAATACAAATATCCCATGTAAACAAGTTTACAGATGTGCCAGCATTTACGTCAATTGCACTTGCTTCTCTGTAAAGTATTGATTAGAGAAGAGAAAGAATGGTTTGAATACCAAATCCTGAGCAGGTGTAAACTGAGGCAATTAATTGAAATTAATATAACATTATTTTTTCCAGCAGAAAGACCTTTCTTGAGTGCAAGTCTGTTTTATTCAGGACGTGTGCACTGTCAGTTTTGTAAATTTAACTACAGGGCTTTGGATTACCATAATCTTTCATACTAATTCTGAAAGCCCTTGCAGAGAAATAAATCCTAATACTTAAAGAAAAGCATTCCAGAATTAATGTTTACTAAGATTCTATACAGATGAGGCAGTGATTCAGGTTACATTCTCAGACTTGGGATAAATCTGTGGTTTTACTCTTTTAAATCGTACTGCAGAAATCAGAAGTTTGTAGAAGTTGCAAACACACCAGGGCAGTGGAAGATGAGACCAAACTGGAAAGGGCAGAAACTAATACAGTTCATAAATGGTATCGTGTCAGTATTTTCCAAGTATTGCTCATATAATGGCAGTAAAAAGCAATCATTTAATTAAAAAAGTCAAGCCATTTACCTTGCATAACTGTGTCTTCCTTTCATAGTATGCAATCACAGGTTTAGATGCCTGGTAATAGCTTTCGATTCCTTCGTTGATGGTTTCGGCATTACCAGAGTGCTGACTGCTCTCATTTCTCCTCAGAAGGCGACTGCTCATGGTTTCTGCAGAGCAGTCCAGGCAGAACACAAGTTTTGGTTCCCCAATCTAGAGACAAACAATAAGTATTCAAACCACTGGCCTGGTAAAACTGATTTTGTTTGGATAATTTTAAAAAGAAATGCTACTAAAAGTCATCAACAAATATTTCTTATTATAGCAACTGGACTCTACACATACAGAGAAAAAGAGGTAAGATCTGAAAGTGCTGGCTACGAAGATCGTCAGCTTGTTCATTATTTGTAACTGTTCGATAAAAGCTTGATGCAAGCAGCTCTGGACTCATGGAATGGTTAACGCAGTTATTTTTCTAGCCTTCACTTTGTTCGATCCATGAAAAGCGTGTTTTCATTCAGGGTGTGGTAAACTACAGCTTAGAAATTCAAGAGGCGATAGAAGAAAATGACCAAATTAAAGCGTGCCCACTTAAAACAGAAATGAGTAGCAACAGACACGTTCAGGGACAACACCGAATGCTTGTTATCGGATGTGTTCACAGGAATACATCCTGTGAATTACTTTAGGTCACACTCTATTTGATGTCAATATTTTGCAGTGTAAGTCTCTACCATAACTACTCATGGATTAAAGGAAGGATGTGATACATTTCTCTGCATTTTCAAATCGGTGATTTCCAAATTCAGTGAGAAGCCCACAATTTAGTGCTTTTTGGCTAGTGTCAAACTAGTCATACGGGAGAGTTTGCCCTTTTCAATAAAGGAAAATAAATATAGATGTATTTATTTTATTCTCAGGCCTTGGCAAAGATGGTAAATAATTGTCTCTACCTACATTTGATACTGCACTACTTTATGGGTGAAAAAGAACTGGCAAGAGAGAACAATATGTTCCTCATAATACATTAGGAGAAAGCCGTAAGTTCTAAATAAAAATC